TCAGCTAGCTTTTTTTTTTTTTTTTTTTGGTGTGGGGGGGCTACCCTTCTCTGGAATCCCTGAAGCAGCTCCAACAACCCCTCCAGCAGTAGAGCCTCAATTTAATAAGGCATTTCTGTTACCGGTTCATCAGCCATCCTGAATTCTGGTGGCTGTTTCGGGTTTTTTTTTTTTTTTTTCTTTTTCCCCTAAACACCTAATTACACAGATCCTCTGACCTCTAAACCTTAACAAGTCCCTTGACAAGGCCCAACTTGCATGTGCGTTAACAAAAGCTTATTTATATAACCGGTGCACTTTTTTGCCTGCTATAATTAACTTGCTAATTAGGTTCCTTTTTAACCTTACCTCCTCCTTTTCTGTGTCAGATGATTTCAGTTAACCTAGTCTCATTAGAAAAAAATTAACTACAGAGCCACTAAAACAATGAGGGAATTTATTAAAATGGTAAGAAAAAAAATTACATGAATGGTGCCAAGTGCTCAGGCAGCCCCTGGCTGGCACTCTGTGTCCTTGGGCTAACCAGACTGGGGACACTGTCAGTCCGCTGCTTTATGTTTTACTGCTCATCTTTAATACAGGTGTTTTGACCCTACCTTTCTCCAAATTGTTTCTGAGTGACCTTGTTTGCTTTTTCCCCAAAAGCGTGTCTTATGGAAGGTGTGACTAAAATGGGAGTGCCTTATCGTCTCAGAGTCCCCAGCACCATAGCCACCTGGTTATGTGCCAAATGGAGACCCAAATGAAAGGGCCAAGACTCATGCTATTGATTCCTGAAAGGGACCAGAGGCTAGGAAAGCTACACTCAATTCCATGCCATGCTACAGACACAAGGGTGGGAATGTGATTTGAATTCTTCTTTTAAAAGCGATTGCTCGTTGAACACAGGAAAGAAGATAAAACGATACACCGTTTTTCCAGGATAATCTTTATTCTGAGGAAAAAGGTCATACTAGTGTTTACTGCACAGTGTTTACTGACTTCTGAAAAGAACAGAATTAGGGGACCAGTTGCCATGGAGATGACTGACTCATGGTGACCCCATGCATGTCAGAGTAGAACTGTGCTCCACAGTCTTCAGTGGCTGACTTTGTTTTTTGGAG